TCCTTTAAATCTCAGGAGTTAGCCAACCAGGACCTGCTGCTCTCCCTCGCTTCAGATTTCTTATGGCTTTCTCAATTTCATAAAGAGTTGGACGATTTACATTGATTTACTATTCAGGTTGACTGGGAATCGTGGGCAACCGAAGTGTGGCTGAAGGCTTGTTGAATTGATCGCTGAAGTGTCCTACCCATCCATCCAATCACCTGGATTGAGATAGTCTCACTTATAGTTTGATTCCTAAAACCGGTTTCCTTGATACGTCTGAATAGTTATCGACTGTTACCTATCGCCTCTGAGTTTTTCATCTCTCTCGCATTCTCTACCCACCGCTTTTCGCGATCATTGAGAAGACTGCGCCTATGCCGACTTCGCTTTTCGCCATGTTCACAGCCAGATGAGGTGAGTTTCCGAACATCGATCAGTTCGGTATATGCTGATGGGATCTACTGTTTCTCCCGAACCTTATACTTTACCTTACTAGCAGATATCACTGCTGTTTCCATAGCTTTTTGTATATCACTCAAAGATGCTTCAGGGTGGGCATCCCTCACATCATTGCCTAACTGTTTTTCTGAATGTTCCTGAAATATATTCTTAGTTTAGCTATCTATAATTAGAGCCATAAGGTGATTCCTTGCTTTGTTTTTCGTGCATTGAAAGCTCTAATATGTGGTTTTGAAGCAGGGTTCTAAGAGACCAGGAATAACGTTGCGTGAGCTCAAAACGTTTGATTCAGTGGCGCGAGGTGACAAAGGAATGAAAGAAAGGTTAGTCGTGGAGACAAGCGAGTAATTAGGAGGTGTAGAAGGGTTTTGATTCGGCCCGATTATGTCTCATGTGCTTTCGCGGGTATGAGTGCAGTCGTCACTTCCCTACTGCTCACACCGTGGTTGTCAGAAGGAGCATCGGCCTCGTGACTTCCGAAGGAACTCAGCTTCCATCATGAGACGTCTCTTCTTCTAAATGAAGACCTTCTAAGTCTCAGAGCAGAATAACGTTTCTCTGTTTCTTTCCTAGAAACAAATCGTTTGATTGTGTACTATCTCTAGTGATTTGTTCGTAGTTCATGATAAGTGAATGAATGATTTGGATAATGAATTGACGTTAGTTATAGTATAGTTTACTATCTAAAATGCAATAGACAATTGTTGCTTCCTAGTTTAGGACTCTGAGAATCTAATACGAAATGAAAATAATTTTCTTTGGATCTTACGTATCCACTGCCTGCTCGGAGGAAGGGGCTCCCGTGGCCGAAGGAGTTGCAGGACGGAGATTGGCGGAGCTTCCTGGGGGAGTTTGGGGCCACGGTGGAGCCGGTGGGGGCCTGAGGCGGAGTTGACGGTGCTGGGGACGCTGCGGGGAGGTGAGGCGAAGGCGGTACACGACAGCCGTAATCGTTATTTAGTCAGCATGCAATACAGTGATTGCAATAAACTTCCACCGAAAAGTCCATACTGTCGTCATCGATATTTTTCAACTCTAGTGTGTTTTAGTTAGTCAGAGGAGTACTATGAAATAATAATTAATAATGATTAGTTAGACTTAGTTAATTTACATGATTCTTATAATATTATTGCTTGTACTTACATGAACTACTTTCAAAACGTATTTCCAATTAATCTATGAACTAATGCAATGTAAACACATCAATCAGATAATTTGTATTTTATTAGTGAAATGCAACTGACAATTTTAGAAATTAAAACACAACTAAAGGTAATCAAGAAAAGATTAAATTGTAAAAATTAGTAATCAGGAGGGTAAACAACTCGATTTATAAAAAAACAATAAAGACAAAAATATGGATAAGTAAGGCGGAAAAAAACATGGTTTACTTTTTGGATAATAATATTTTGATATCACTATTAAATTGTTTCCTATAAATCGTGTAAACATGACCGAATTATTCAGTATACATATGTTCTATCAATTAATACGAAATTAAATAAATTTATTATTTAAAATAATTAATAAACTAGGAAGTTAGTCAATATCTAGTTTTCGACTAACATATTCGGATTTTTTACTTAACACATGATGATAGAGAATAAATGGAATACGACTAATAACGGAATCGAAGACGCTCGTTTCATCCCATATTGGACTCGCTAGCAGGATGTAGCTGCAACTCAGAGTTCATATTGATGCCATGGCTTGAATCCGGTATTGTTTGCTTCAAATGCCATTGAGTTATCCACTTAGCTACTGGATCAAGGTAGGCACTTACTTGAGCAAACGGTAGAAAGTTTGAACCCTAGAGTGAACATTAACTCTAGGATGCAGATACAGACGGCTAAGGAGTCCTAAATAGGACGAAACACCTATCCTGCATTCCAGAACTAGCCACATCTCATCAATTTGATATGTTTTTCTAAAAAGTAGTCACATATCCGTCAATCTGAATTTCGCTCATATTGTTGTACCAGTAATCTTGAGTTAATTCTACTTCAGTTAACTGCTTGAATATAGACCAACCATGAAACAAACTTTCAGGTCGCTAAACAATTCCTTCACTGGTACGAAATCCGATAATTTTGAATTCCAATTCTTAAACTTATTACGTTTTTTAAGATAATAATATAAACATAAGTATCAAGTACTTAGTATAACATAAAGAAGAGCTTAACCATTTTGGAATATTCAAACTGTGAGTCGTTTTTATTCTATCTGAACTTTGAATGAAGCCTCTCATAAAGACTAATTTATGAGTAATTTTAGAACAAAAAATTGGAAATTAATTCGTTTGTCCAATAAGAATTTAGTAGTTCTAAATTTAAACATTTGACTGATACCTAATAAACTCATTTGAGCAAGACATATTTACTTTTAGATGAACTATGGATTAAATATGAAGTTAACCAGTGTTATCATTTTCATCCAATACACTACAATATCGAAAAACGTAATTATCACGGTACCACCGTAAAGTTTGTATGATTTTGTAAGCAATGGTTGTCATTTATAATTTCAGTAAACTTGTAGCATGATAGTTAGTTGATGGTCTTTGGAATATCTGGCTCATTCTTGACATAGTTCATCCTCCCTAGTCTCATAGAGAAGGTGAAGTATTTTATTCAACTATATTTGACAATTAGTAGTGGTAAAGTCAATCCACAATGAATTTGTTTTCTGCAATAATATAATGTAAACAAACGGTTTTATTGCGTTGGAAAAATTTCAGAAACTGTTTTAAAGTGGAAAATGTATAATCCAATAAAACAAAGTTACCTAAAATTTTTAACAAAAGTATATTAGAATTTCTAGGTTAAATCAATCCATATACTTCATTAACTTTGACTAGTATGAAAAGTAACGGTTGTCATACTGTTTGACATTGATAAATGTGATGGTGTACAGTGAACAAGCTAATAATCAGGTTATAATTTAACTGATCAGTAAAACAAAAGACTTATAAAATGCTTTCATAGTGCCTTGCCTTTTATTTCATACAGATTTAATTATTTAACCATAAAATTAACATAATTTGCTAGCCAGTCATTTTGTGGGATGTACACATAAGTCAATAAATTGTCATATGCAATCATCTTACTCTGTAACAAGTGAATATTGTTGAGTGTTTTTCAAACTGTGCGACTGTTAATCGACGAGTTGAAGCGAATTCAGAAAAAACAAAAATAATCTTTATGATAGGAAATTACCTGAGTCAGTTTACTTATCGATTCAACTTACAAATTGTCACTGAAGTTTACAATTCTTGTATTGCAGTCAGTGATCGAGTGATTAACCTGTGATTGATGGAACAGATGATCTTTCTATGGATTAGTGAAACAATATCAAACAATGTAGTTAATAATACTCTGTTCACTCTTCATTTCTCAATGTATCAGTGATAAAATGCACAAAAAGAACTGTCGATTCAGCAGCACTAAACCAATGAAAAAAAAACTGTTCATTTAATGATGATTTCCAACGTTTCCCATGAAAAACGTTATTGATCAAAGTACATTTGTGAAGGCTAATTCACTACATTGTCCCAAAAAGCTTGTAAATTTAAATACCAGTAATCAACACATTGTTACTCAAATTATGAATGTAACATTAAAGCAATTAGGTTGAAGAAACAAAACCGTTATGAGCTAATTAATACATTAACTCATTATTTTATAAGTATAGACGCAGTTTATTGATTTAAAGTGTCACATGAGAACCATCAAACGTGAAACCAACTGTGTACCTCAGTACTTATTACCGAAATCTATAGTTAGTATTTACTCATTTCCTTATCCCCTATAAGACAACAAAAATTTTCCTGACTAACTTATCACAAATGACTTTATTTTTACTTATACATAAAAACAAACACTATTCCTTATTCATCACATCAGTTGAATATAGAAGAACTCGAAATCATGAATCTTATGAAAATTATCATATGACAATTTGAACGAGATTAATGATATTTATAAATTTCTATTACTGTTACTAACTGTTAGTAATAATACTACTACTAGTATACACATACATATATCAATTGGCTAAAGATGTTTGAAATTGTAAACAAAGAGAAACCACACTCATAAAGAGTATGAATAACTTTGAAAGTTAGCACTAGAAAAAATGGGATGGTGAACTAATGGAAAGTTGCTATTATCCCTGATCAATGCAAGGATTTTGTTTTGTTTTCTTTTCTTTCACAGATAGTTGGTCTTAAATTAAAAACAATTTCATCTGTTTTGGTTTGTTTGTTTGTTTTTTTTAAGTAGGAATGATGAAATGGGAACATTTTATGTAACTTATCAAACCACACCAAAAAAATTTGCTTGAATTGTTGTAACACTGAGCTAGATTAACAAACGTTATTATATTCAGTAAATTGAGAAAGTGATAATCATTCAACTTTTTGAATGGTTCATATGTGGCTTATCACACTGAATGGTATGACTAGGCGAGTTTACTTCGTTTACTTGTACAGACATTTATACTTCCGAGTGATCAAGAATCAAGATATTTTTATTGTTTTTATTTTCTTCTTGTTTTAGGTAGTAAAACTATTAATGATTATTGTAGTATTATTTGCATCCTTTTGGTTGCCATACCGTTCAATGGTGGTATACAATAGTTTCTCACTTCATGGATATCATGATCTATGGTTTCGTATGTTTTCGCGTATTATGGCATTTCTTAATTCAGCTGTCAATCCAATTTTATACAATGCTATGTCACGTAAATTTCGTCGTACACTTAAACGTTTATTAAAATGTCATAAAGTAATATAAATATAAATACATCTTTTATTTGTACACTATTGTATATTTTTCAAATAAATAAATATAATGAAATATTTGTTATTTTGAAGTTGAACTGATTATCTGGAGAAGTTCTTGAAAACATCAAACCAATGGTACAATTTAGTGATGTGACCACAATTAGCAGATAATATAGTGAATACAGATGTGAATATTATTTGTAAGTGTAGATGATCGTTCAGTGAAAATCCATTAATGATCTAGATGATGCCCTAATTACAGACAACGATAAGAATACAATTTCCATCATTATATGATGACCTGTTATGAATCATTATGAATTCACATCAAACTAGAACAAAATGGTAAAAAAACTCAGAAATGTGTGTTTTGGTTGCTTAAGTTTTAAAATGGCATATTTATATCTTCACCTATTTGATTATAGTGGATAATAATTAATACGTACAATAAGAAATGCTTATATTCATTCATTTTTGTACCAACCAACTCTCATTACTCTTGCTTTATATTCAGTTACATTTGTATTCTAAATTAAAGACCTGTTCCATATTCAGGTGGTAGGTTTAAAATCTGATAGGGAGAATTCAGAGCTTTGAAATATCTTATTTCGCAAGACAACTTTGTAGAATTTAGTTTTCTGAACGATTGAATGTTGACTTTTTAATAAAATGCCATAGGGCCGAGGTAAAGCTAATGAAAAGTTCGTAAATTTACTGTTTATTGAATTAACTAAAAGACTTTTATTCGAAAATTGTTTATATTTCTCAAAAACAAAATTTGCATAATGTTCATTGTTAAATAGCAATTATTTTGATTAAGTATGGAAGAGTACTGTTCGTCGCCTAATTGTTCTGTTTTTGATAATTGCCACTGATTGGAATAAATTTTGCATCAAATTTTTCGGCTTTTATAACTGATCTTCAATTGATCGAATTCGACTGTAAATGAAATTTGTTAACATTCATCACAATCATATGAGATTTCTGTATGTTTGTTTCTTGAATATTTGTCTCAAATAATAGTCTGCAAAAGGACCAGTGACTTTATCAATAAAAATTTCTCATTTGTAATCTCTTAATTTATTCAAATAATCATTAATATAATAGTTCAGGTGTAGAAAGTAATCATAGATGATTATTAGACATAATACGCATCGATACACATAATTCGTCGAGGATTGAATTTTTAAAGTGAAATTAGCCTACTGAACAACTTGATTTCTTATTGTGTTATTTGTATATGGAAATACAATTTTAACAAAGTTAATTTATAGTTTAAATAATGCTTTATCATAGCTCCTTATTATTATGCAGTGTTTATTGTCAATCACGATCTCCTCAGATGTTTATTTACGGTACATGATGATCACATGTTGTTCCAAACCTTCAACAAATAATTTGATGGCACTTTTCTTTCATTTTAATCACCATTTTTACTAAATGGTAAATTAACTTGATTAAACCTGTTCATCCTCTGTTACCATGACAGATGACAAGCTCTATCTGGCTACCAAAACTTTCGTTAAAAACTATCATTGATCTACTTCTATGAGTGTGTTAACTTTCCGAAGGTATTGATTTTTATTGCATTAGGCCACCTTTCAATCAGATAATCCATAAATCCCAGCTTCTACTGGAAAGATTTGATCTCAGGAAAAAGTGGTCAGGTAATCAACAAGATCAAATGTCTTTCTGACAGAATAACTAGGAGTAATTTTTCACACACAAAATAACCAAAAAGAGTGAGTTAATTAATCTGTTAAGATAACAGAACAAGGTTTCTACACTCTAAACAACACAGTAAACTACCATCAAAAACTTGCGTTGACCGTAAATTTGCTAGAAATCACGAATTTCTAGCAGGCTATTTCTTCCTTATCTCTGGTTCCTCAAAAGGTCTAATCCACAAATCCATGCAAATTAGAGTTCAGTAGCCTCCTCTGAAAATCTTGTGCACCAGATGTAGAGTGAAATGTTTGTTGGCAGCGTTTTTACCACTAGACATAATGAAGATAAAATCATTTTCGAAAGTTATAAACGTGATCAAATCACATGCAGTAATCATTAGCTCTCAAGTGTTTTCAGCAGATCCCATTAGATTGAATAAAATGTCCCCCAAACACATCAAATACCTCTTAAGCTTAATAATACCTGAACTGTTAGAAAATCAATTTCCAAGGACAAAAGTGAAGTTAATAATCGATCCTACTTTGTTTAGCAATTTATATTTCAGTGATAATTTCCATATCTGTGACAGATATTCTGAAAATTAAGTATTTAATAGGTAGAAACCGAAATAATATATATATTTTTCGTGATCGTACAGAACAATCCTTGCTATTCTCATTATGACTTCTTTTATTTTTTATAAAGGATAATTTTTTTAACTAACTACGGCGTTTCATGAATTATTTTTTTTTATTATCAAGCATGTCAGAGATTTTGATGCATGAGAATATATAAAGGCAATAAAATAAATAGCTTTGCAGTTGATTAGTCACGAAACAATCAACTGTGTTTCGAGTTCTTAGAAGCTAATCGAATACAACCGATCAAGTTGACATATAGTCACTACTATAAGTGACTTTGATATATTATTGTATGTGGTTGGAAAAGTTACATTTAGTCATCTTTTTATATAATGTATTGCATATCTCTTAAAATTGTTAATTTATTTTAATAATTAGAAAAATACGAAAGTTTTTTGAGTCAATCAGCGTATTTAAAAAGTAATGATGTTTCACTGATCAGTCTAAACTTACTCGTAAATATAATTTAACTAAAAGAATTTTCACTTTTTATTAGTAAGCATTTAAAAATTACCTTATGCCTTGAGTGTTACCGTTTTCATGTAGAAATCTTAATGACAATAGATGCTTATTTATAACAATAGAATGTAAAGAGAACTAACCATTAGTGAAAGTTATTTTTGCTAGCTTTGAAGTAACTTATCTTCAAAATACTTTTTGAACACATTGGTCAATTTAACAATTTGTTGACTTGTAATAACTGTGAGCTTTGAGAGACTTATCATGCTGACCATTAACATGTTGTTAGCTCACTGAAGGACTTAGGGATCCAGGGTTCAGAACAGTTTTTGAATTGTATTTTCTCATAGCGGATAGATCTTAAACTAGGAAAAAATCATCTGCGTCACCCTCTTGGTTTTTCAGTTACTATAAAAATGACGTAGCTTTATGTTAGTAGTCAATTGAATTATGTTAGTGAATGATTCGTCGAAATTTAATGATTTTTGTTGATAATATCATCGTGATCGTTGAGACGCAATAAATAATAATTGACTCGTTAGACGATTACACTGATAAATCTAGGTAACGTTACGAGAAGACTCAAACTAGTTTAAGATAAAATCTTTTTACATGGTATGAGAACCAGACAATTTAATATTTAACGATCCAATAATAACCCTAAGCATTGAATTTTATTTACCGAGCTATATTTTCTTAAGCAAATCTTTTACAGAAAATTGAAATCAGTTATAATATCGCATCAGTAGAATTTTAATGACTGCTTAAACTATTTGTTTTAAGTTTACACATATTTATGCGTTAATTCGCAAAACTGTTTTCACTGTATGCCTTTGTTATGGAAGCGAACGGAATAAATTTACATCAAAGTAGACTTTCTCAAACACATATTGCAAGGATTGCAATCAGAAGATGTGCTTATATTGGAAATGTCTAGACTTGCTAGTGAATGGCTTCGCGATATCTCATGCACTAGCTTTTTCCAATCTACTTCCGTTGCAATGCCAGTTGCCAAAAGTTAGAAGAAGTGCTTAGATCCGTTTCTGGAAAATTTTAACCACTCACTGAATGGAACTGATGAAACCTTAAAGGTAAGCGAATCGGTCAACTTCTTCAACGAGGTCACTCCTATGAACAGTTTAGGCATTCACTTGTCCAGCTGTTATATATCTCACTAAGTGTTAAAGAACTGAATCCTGAACAGTTTTGTATTATTAATCAAGGCTTTTATTAAACCTTGAATTTTATCAACCTGGTTTCTCAATTCAATGAATACAATTTAATAGGTGAACTAAATATCACTAAATTTCAAATGAAAAGAACAACCAGTAGATGATTAATAAATATTGATCAGTTGATCATGATAATTTATTGAAAGAAAAGAAAAACTATTTACTTTAATGTTAAATAGATTATTACTAATCAACAGTCAATCTCATCAGCACAACAATTAATCATCTAGAAAATTAGACAGAAACTTAGGCTACTTTTAAATTGATCGTTTGTGCGCATGTGCATGCAATCATCTTCATGATATTCATTGAACTTAACATATACACGTCTGGTAGGGAGTACTGTCTATTATAGTCGGACAATCACACCCCGGTGGTTCAGGCTTTAATCCTAGTCTATTCAAAAAAGTCTTCAATCGATAAACAATAATTCTAACTAGTGGCTTCTTTGATTCCCAAGTTATGTTCTTCCAAGGAAAGTTAGGAAATTTCATCTGCAAAACTAGTCATACTTACTAACGAAAAAGACTGATTGTCTTGTAGAATAAGAAATTTCAATTCCATACTTTATCTGTTGTCCTGAATTACTGCCGAGAGATTTACTGCTTTCCTCAGAGAAAATAATATTGCCAGTAACCTCAAGATTACCGATACAGAAAATTCCTCTGTGAAGAATTCACCTACTCGTTTTCATTATTAAAGGTGAACATTTACTGAAACAATTTTCTATCTCCCCGATCACATATTATCGGAATAAAATGACAAACGTTTCTAGGCTCTGTACATTTGTCAGACATTTATAGACGTCTTCAAAATAAATTTTCTAATATAAATGTTCTGATAAAAATAAAATTCAACATTTTGACCATACTTTGAATCTATGTCAGTAAACATTTAGGTGGCTTTTATTGCAATAAAATTATCATTAATTTAGTTGATTAAGATGATTGATTAGACCAATGAAAAATGGTTTCAACAAAACAAAGAAAAATGCATGAAATAAAAACAAAAACTTCACTTCAATTGGATTCATCAGTGAAGCAAATTTATTCAATAGGATAAAAAGAAAAAAAACACCGACTCACAGATCGAATCATCAATGCGCTAATTTAAAGTTCTACAATACAGTCCAATGAAATTTAATTTTTTTTTTTTGAGAAATACAAAGAAGTCTGTTATTTTGACACAGATTTACAAAAACATAAAAATAAAGCCAATAGGTATTGATGTTTCGATAACCAAATAAGAAATGTTGATCTTGAAAAAGTATATCTGTTAATTTATTCTCTTTTTGTAAGCTAATTATAGTTGCAGGAAGCCAGAAAAGAAATTTCTGGATACTTGCCATAAAAATGAGAAAAAGCCACTTGAATCTACACAAAACTTGGCAAATTAATTCTTGTAAAAGAAAATTAAATCTATTGTGCAAAAGAAAAAAAACGCCAGACAAACAAACACTAATCAGCTAATAATGTCTTGTGATTACGTAATCTTGGACCTAGATTTTTCGGTTAGCCAGTATATGTGAATAAGGCATATTTGTATTTTTACATTTGATTTTTAGTGAAATGTTATTACCATCATGTTTTTCATTTATTTCTCATCCTTCTCATAGTCCTTAAGTGAATAGTTATCGTTCAAATATTTCATAATATCTGATAATTTTTCATTTGCTTATCGATCATGACGCAGTATTTATTATATTTAAGTCTTTGAAAGTATATATACTACTCTTCACATTTTTACGACATACTTATTAGGGTGACAGGCATAGATTAGTGGCATGTGGGCAACATAAAACATTTAAAATTCGGACCTCAACTCCGCGACACACTGATAACGCTTCAGCCTAAAAAGACGATTTTTTAATATAATAAAATAATCACAGCACTATATTGCATTAGTATGATCAACTAGAAGGGGAAACATAAATTTAATGTAGATATGTTACATACATTAAAAATATCTTTGTAAAGTCGTTTTAAACGTATTGCTACCGCGTTATACTTTCTGTCGATTTTATGTCATTGGATTTCTGCAACATACTATAATAAGATTTTTAATCGATTAAATCTGTTTGTTTCATAGAGCGTAAGCGAAATTCCGTATGCCCGGCTAAGCGGTAGCACTAAGGTCTTGAGGCAAAATATTTGTATGCTTTCAATTTCGTCAGGACTTATGTTACTACTGTAGTGATATTTCCGAACTCCAAGTTCATAACATTCTAATACATTTTTTGATTGAAGACAAGATGTAAATCGTTGATGATGCTCGTATAATGAACGAATACTGAAGATCAGATAGACAAAATAATTCATTCGAAGAGGATGTAATCCACAACCTAAAGTGTACATCATAAAACATTCAATTGTAAAACAAGCATATCTTCTCCAACAAGTCTTTCATCTCCCCCAAAACACCCAGATCACGATATAATTCCGTATCCAAAACTTATCGCTTCAGCCGTAACTTCAGGGCGACGCTGTTGTACATCCACTACATACTACTTATAAGATCCTTTGTGAGTATTACACCATAGTTGTATTACCAGGTTTCTAAGGTGATATTTGAAATGAACTTCTCTTCCTGTAAAATATGAGTCAATCTCGAAATATGGACAGTTAGAATAACGATCGCAATCGTAAGAGGCGATCGCAGAACACTGGTTCAAACCTACTCTGACTTGCGTCCATTCAAACTAATGATTTTAGTTCAGAAGCGCTAATTACTTACTTACATAGGTCTGTTACTCCTAATGGAGCACAGGCCGCCCACTACCATTCTTCAACCTACTCTATCATCAGCCTTCCCTTTCAGTTCTGTCTAACTACCACTTCACCCTTTTCATATCTGACTCAAATTCTTGACGTAATGTGTTCTTTGGTCTTCTTTGTTTCCTTTGGCTTTGAGGAGGGGCTTGTCTTGCGACGCAGTTGGATGCTTTCCTCAATGTGTGTCCTATCCACTTCCAGCGCTTTTTCCTAATTTCTTCCTCAACTCGAATCTGGTTTGTTCTCTCCCACAGTAGGTTGTTGCTGCTGGTGTTTAGCCAACGGATCTGAAGAATCTTGCATAGACAACTGTTGATAAACACTTGAATCTTCTGGATGATGGCTGTTGTAGTTTTCCCAGTTTCTGCCTCATACAGTAGAACTGTCTTGATGTTTGTATTGAAAATTCTGATATATCAAGGTTTCAACATCTTCTAAAGGTTCTCCGTCAAGTGTGATCTGGTTAGTAAATATTGTGTTGCATCGCTGTATCTTGCTTTTCCCTTTGTGTATGTTGAGAAAAGCTGATTGGAAATCCTTTAACACAAATGTAAACACTATAGGAAGACAATTTTTCTATTTTTGATTGGATTAGTTTAACGGCTGGTATTTACAGTTATCTGGTTACCTACATAATATATAGATATTTCTAACTCTAAAATGTTGTAATTTCTCACCGAACTATCATAAAAATTTTATTTCGACTTTAAAAAACTAAATGTAATTTTAAAAAATCTGAAAAAAATACTTATAATCAAAAAAGCATGCTGCATATCTTAATAATTAGTGCTGATAAGCACAAAACTTCAAACCAACTCTTTATTACCAAGGTGGTTATTACATAACAAGATCACAATACATAGTCTTAGTGAAAAGCTTTAGTCACCAATATGTTATGTAGTATGTAATAAGCAATGGTGGGATACTGGACACAACTCATAAATAAAGAAATTCAAATCAATAATTCATTATTTATGCAAGACAGAAAACAAATTGTATGTCAATGCATGGAAAGTACATAGGAAAAAAACCAAAACAAAAAAAAAAGAGTTACAATAGCAACCTTGCATACCTTCATCAATACGCTAAAATATCCACGAAACAAGAAGAAGGAACAATAATTTGCGTTACATGGAATCAAAGTGGTAATAAGTATACTGAACCGAATTTAGTCAAATCAAAAACTACCATAATCATTTTCGTGCATTAGATATCACGGATAAACAATAGAAAAGAGTAAGGAATAAGTACAAATTTGGTAGACAATGAATGAATGAATGAATGATCACCATGAATGTATAAACAGGTAGTGATAAGTAGTAGAAAAAAATGTAACACTGTTGTTGATAGAGCACACAGTAATAAAAAGAATAACTCTTAGACCACATTGTAAATTATCATGCATCGCATAGGAAAATTGATAAATAAAGTTTACAGATTCACCAAAAGTAAAGATTATTCCAACCGATTTGGCACGTTGTGTTTATTTTTTAAAACACCCTAGTTAATTATTTTTCCTGTACAAAGAGACGTTGATTTTTCCAGAAAAAAAAAAGTGATTTAAGAAACCATGAAAATATTAAAACACTTATATTTCAATTTCATTTTCAATACACTAGTTAATTGATAAATTTGTAATTGAATGATTCGATTGTGTACCGCCAATACTTGATGAAGCATTACATACAAGACATGGTTGATTTTCAATATTGACTGTACAATTGACACTAGTCTTATCAATATTATTGATATTATTATTCATATTAGTCAATAGAATACTAGAATTAACACCGACAGTATTGTTCGTGGTTAACACAACCGGTAGAAATGGTAAAGTTAAGTTTAAACTTTTAAATAACCTTTGATAATGTGGTAATATTTCCAAATCAGATGGAATTAGAGAAAATTCTAAACCCAATGCAACATCCAGCTCCGTATTGAGTAAATCACGACGTGAAATACGAAAAACTGTCTCCAATTCCTAGAAATAAGAAAAGATACGAAGAAAAATAGCTGAAAAGACTATGAACAACAAAAGCAATAATATATCTTCCTTGATAAGAAATACATGAATATGAAATGTGAAAACTAAAAGCAATGGAAAAAACCTTCCACAACACAAAAAGTCAAACAAGACACTAAGAATGCTTTTACTACCGAAAAGGACAAACACACACTGCACATGCGAAAATGAATGAGCTAATATTCAACAGAGTTAAAACGCTACTATTATTATTAAGTAAATGCATAATTTGTGAGACGTTTATAAAATAATACTTGTACATCAAATAATCTTTATCCCAAATGCATTCCAAGCATTGCAAGATGAAGAATTTACAAATGATAAAAGAAGTATTAGAAGGTAAATAGTATCAAGTTTAGTGGAAAGCTAAACATGAGAAAGATAATTGCAAAGGAAAAAAGGAGATCCATGAATGAAAATGACAGTCAGTCAGTCAGTTACAACGTAGAACTTCGTACGTACCTACAGCAGTTCAAGTCGCCGTACCACATTAGCAGTGAGATGCAATTGTCAATTCAAATCCCATAGTAGTAGAGGTAGTGGAAGTATTTCAGTAGTCAAAAAGATTAATGATCGAAGAAATTATTTAAGGAGTATAATCCAGTGAAATTGACTTGAGAAGAGAAAGATAAGGGTGATGGGGATTTCAACGAATAGAAGCAATCGATGTATCTCTGCCATTCCAAAGCATTTCCAGCCATGCCATTGAAAGTCTCTAACCGTCGGATACTATGGTCTCGGGGACCCCAACCCGGAAGTCTACACCTACCAAAAAGGCTCAGTCCAATTGTCAGTGACTTCCGGGATTTGTACCATGTTTTTGTCTGACCGTTCCAAGCTTTCTTCGAGCCTATTCCAACAACATATAACATCGCTCGTAGAGACAATCGGTGGTTAAGCATACGTAACACATGTTCTAACCACAACAACTGATGGAGGTCCACTACTTCGTCAACCAATCTGCTATCCTAACATAATAAAGCAGCATTGCTTACTCGATGGTCCCAGAAAATACGAACAATGCCTCGAGGAGACAGATGAGCGAATGCTAGTAACCTACAAATATCCTCAACTCTTACGGGATGCACCAGAATAGTAAGACGGAGCGAACTGCTGCATAGTACACTCGTCCTTTGATTAGAGAACGGATATAACGCCTACGCCATAAGTGACGCAGGTTGGCAAAAGCCAATCCAGCCTTCTGTATCTGTGCTGAGATTTCGTCAGTCACCAGATGATCAGTACTGATGAGACTGCCAAGATAAGTGAAGCGGTCAACATGCTCAACCGCTACACTTCCTATCACTAGTTCAGATGCCTATACAAGCCAATGCTGAAGCAACGTTTTACATTTAGAGAGAGAGAATCGCATAAAGAACATGTTTGCATTGTTGCTTAGGGTAGACAGAAGACTATGCATTTTGTCGGAGTATTCACCAAACAGAACTATGTCATCGTCATCCCCTAAGTCAATAAACGAGCCTCCTGGTAGAATGTCCACTCCTGAAAAGCCTGAAAAGGATAATGTTAAAACTAAAAGCATGTCTACGACAAAGTTTGACAGGAATGAAGAGAGTGGACAACCCTGACAGACACCACTTGAAGCAAAGAATCCCGATGACAGTTCGCCATAGGCTCTCAACCGACCAGTGGTGTTCGAGTAGAGAGCTTGTGTAAGGTTAATGTACTTCTTTGGTATACCTTTTAATGACAGGCACTGCCACCTCACGATCAACAGAGTCAAATGCCGCCTTTAGGTCCAGCAAGATAGATTGTAGGACCCCCAAATGTGTGTCTGTGTTCCAAGACCTGTCGTAGTGTGAAGATGTGGTCTATACATACACGTCCAGGTCTGAATCCAGACCGGTTTTCTTTAATCTGCTCTTCGAGCTCCAGTTAGGCGTCTAAGGATAATTGAGGCTAACAATTTAGACACTATATTAGTTAAACTGATTACTCTGTGATTGTTACAAGAGGACTTATTTCCTTTCTTATAGACTGGGACATTCAGAGATTGAGATCAGTCAGATGGGATTCAGTCAGTCAGTTGCAACGTAGAACTTCGTCCGTATGTACTTAAGTTCAGGTTGCCATAACACATTAGCTCAGAGACGCAAATGTCAAGTCAAATCCCATAGTGATAAAGATAGTAGAGGTATTAATGGTAATAAAGAAGACTACGGTTCGAAGATATTATTCAAGAAGTATAATTCAGTGATAAAGCTGTATAAAAATGTAATGAGAAAAATGTAGTCAGGCTTTTCAATTACTAAATAGTTTGAAAATGACTATCATCAAAATAAGACTGGTTATAGTTGAGACATTTCACTTCTATTGCGTTCAAAAACATTTTTTGGCCAGAATACGATGATAGAAATACTTACCGGTAATTTTTGCGTTACAAAATTAAAATCAGAATGAAACAAGAATAAGCATTGTTTGCATATCGACAATGTATATAAACAAGGACTTACTTGAAGTAAAGCACATAACTGTGAACCTTTCACATCATTCAATTTTGCACTGATCAAAAGTGAAGCTGAAGCACATAATCTTCGATTGAATTTTGTTAAAAACAACTATAAACCGGAATAAAAGAGAGGACACAATAAACAATAAAATTTGTCCATTTTCATTGGTCGTTTAGATTTCCTTATTTATAGTTAGGACTGCACTTGATCAGTCGAGTACAAACTACACAATGTATAGACAATGACTTGCCGTGTCCGAATAAAGTATCAGTACTTAATTTAGGTTTCCACGGTACATAGTTACAACTGAATAATACTAAACTCTGTATTACAGGTCAGAACCAAAGAAAAAACGGATTTCTCGAAGAAATTCGAATGATCACGTTCAGATAAGAAGTTATGTAAAAAACAATATCAGTGTACTGAAGGATTAATCAGTGTATTATTTATTGGTTTATCCAGCTTCTAACAATTAAACATCAATGCCGAAACGGTTCTGCTAACGTGCTCTGTCCTCACTTCTCAGACCCTATAAACTGTAGAAAAATACTGCATAATATGAAGACCTTGCCAAATAAAATTATTCCTATGCGAAAAAGCAGAAGAACTCTTCTATTAAGTCTGATTATACACAGACAAAATGGAAAAATCTTGCAAATCTGGTCAGAGAAACACTATGTATATCCGACATCTAAGAAGTCCGAAAAAATATAGAACACTTCATGATTTTAGATGAATGCAGACAAATACCATGTGATACGCCACTATATATATAGGCAAATGGAAAAATTTCAGCTGTCAAAAATGAAAGAAGGAAAACAATTTCATTCCTATACACAAAAAGAGAGTTAATTTGCAAATAATGTCAAGAACGATAGAGTTTCTGGAAGTTAAAACACGTATTTCCGAAATATAATGAATTATTAACAAAAACCATTGTTAACATTGATTTTTTATTTTATTCATACACTTAATTTAACACTGAAGCATTGCAATGAATCTTCAAGATCACTATTTTTCACATCATCCAAAAATCTTGCATGACAAATTGAATTTAAACGCCTGTCACTTAAGCAATCATTTATCGATTAGTGGTTCATTTTACTTTTGGATATTTTCACTTAAAATAATAATTTTACCTTAGTATTTACAGTGTACTGAGCTTCGATACAATTACGTGTTTCATCCTAATAAACAGAATGAATCTTATGTAATTTATTCATATATACATTCATGTACATACATGTAATTTCTTAAATCGCAACTTCATAATTGTACGTTGCTGCTAGAAGAGTGAACATTTCAAAAATTATTCTAATCTAAACAGATTGGCAAACGCTACTTGTATCCATAAGTTTTTTTAAGAAATCAACGTAAGGCGCAGAAAAATTGGATAGTTTTGAAACAAAATCTAAGTTATAATATTGGAAAAACTGAAAAATTTCTATACGTTTGCCACAAAATATTAGTGAACTATTTCGTTTCTGCAGACGAACATGTCTTTAATGAGGTGTGGATGTTAAAAAAAGATTCTTGAAAGAAAATTCAAAACTCAGTATAGGTGATTTTTTAAGATCGAAATGTTCTGAAACAGAATTAGTGGATAGCCAGTAGCTAAGCTAACAAGCCATACTGTAACCGCAGACTACTTATATTTTAATAGTAGCCACAAAATAAGAGCAGAAAGTAAGACATCACGAATGACACCAAAAGTGACAGGAATTAGTTGTCTGGAGACAACAAATTGAATTATAACCATAAAACACAGTTCCAATAAAATCCATCTCCAAAAATTTAAAAAAAAAATTCAATCTAATCACGCAATAGAAAATGAGCTAGAATATTTTTGTAATGATAAAGCATGCAACACAGGATCTTGAACTTAATATCCGTAGAAAACAATGATCAGGAATACTCCCTTTGAAATCAGAACATGAAAAACTACTAACAATAAGTAGATCGAACAACATTTTGGATTTCTCAAGAATCAGTAGATGAATCAGTCAATCAGCTACAACGTAGAACTTCGTACGTATGTACATCAGTTCATACCATACATTAGCACAGAGATATCGCTTCGAATCTCATAGTAACAGGGGTAGTAGAAGTATAAGCTGTAACCAAAATGATTAAGGAGCAGATGGAGAAAACGAAAGTATCCAATCAAAGATTTGCATTATGTAATTCGAGGCATTCAAGGTTAAATCGTAAGCGAAAAACAAAAGACACTCCACTCCATCGACAATTTCAGATGGAATACATCACGAGAATATGAACTGAAAATACGATTTTTATATATTACATATCCATCTTGCCCAAAAGAACCTTTACTCATATCATCAATCAAATACAGTGATTCGTATCGTGAAATCCGTTCTTCCTGCTAGTTGGGTGAAGTCTACTATAAGCACTACTTTTATGTTTCGTCAATTGCTGATTTGAATAGTCATTTGAATAACAGAAACAACAAACATTTGTACACGTTATAAAAGCTTGCATGTCACATTTAATTTGGCCCTCATTATTTCCTTGATAATTTTGACTGGACAATATAGTTACCTGTTAACTTGACATGGGTCCTTCAGTTCATTTTTATATTTTCATGATAAGTGTGAACTAATCAGAGCTATTTTCCCATCAATTATAATTATATTTACCAATCAAAAAACAAAAAGATTCTAGAAACTGCAAAACATTACCTTTAGAACCAATTTTTCAAAAAGCACATGGGCATGTGCAACAATCCATAGGTCCATAGACAACTGCAAATCGGAATTACGTGAATAAAATTAAAAAAGAATTTGTCATACTTTTGGTGAAGAATTTAATCCTACTAAACAAAATATAAACAGCTCAATTTTCAAGGTATAAAATGATATCACACATTAATTTAATTTCATTCGTTTTAAAACCATTGAATCTAATTTATCTGAAATAGTCGTTGCAAGAAAAACTTATACGTTGACATTACTATTAATAAAGAATTCAAGATAGCCCTCAGCAATAGGTTCCAGATCTTTCATGATCTACTCAATGAAGAGGAGACGACCATGGAAAACAATTGGAAAGAGAGCAAGGAGGCCAACACTTCAACATGTCAGGAGGTTCTGGGCCCGAGAAGTACCATTATAAGAAACGGATCTCTGTTGGTAATCCGGATAAGATTCAAGGAAGGAGGAACAAGAAGGCAGCAATCAACATCAGCCAAACAACAGCAGAAAGCGCCAAGGCACAAGCTAAACACAGAAGCAAAGAAGCAAGTGAAGAAGGCATCAGAACCGACAAACGTAAACGTATGGAAGATCTAACAGTGGTGGCGAAAAAGGCTGAAAGAGAAGGAAACTTGTGACAATTGTACGATAAAACAAAGAAGCTGGCTGGAAACTATCGTAAACTAGAAAGACCAGTGAAAAGCAAGCAAGGCAAGGTAATCAACAACATTGAAGAATAGAGAAACAGATGGGTTGAGCACATCGAAGAACTCTTGAATCAACCGGCCCCACTAGACCCAGCCACCATCGAAACAGCATCCACGGACCTCCAAATCAATGTCGGCCAACCAACAACTTGAAATAGATCAGTGTGGCCATCAGACAGATCAAGAGCGGGAAAAGCAATGGGACCAGACAGCATTCCAGTCGAGGCTCTGAAACAAGACGTAGCAGCTACTGCACAGATACTCCACATTCTCTTCAACAAGATTTAGGACGAAAAGCAAGTACGAACAGATTGAAAAGATAGATACCTGGTCAAATACCAAAGAAAGGAGATCTCAGCAAGTGTGAAAACTACACAGGCATCAAGCTTTTCTCCATACTAGACAAAGTCTTCAAGTTACTGTTAAACAGAACAAAGGACTTCGTAGACGTCCAACTTCGAGGATCAACAGGCTGGATTTCGTAAGGACCGATCGTGTACTGACCTAAAGGCAGCATTACGGATCGTTTTGGAACAATCAATTGAATGGAACTCACCACTCTACATTTGATTGCGTCGACAGGGCAACACTATGGAGGCTTCTTCGAAATAATGGCATGCCTGAGAAAATAGTCAACATCGTTCGGAATTATCTCGATGGATTAAACTGCAAAATTATGCAAGGAGGACAGCTGACAAACTAGTTCGAGTTGAGGACCGGTGTCAGGCAAGGTTGCTTAATCTCACCCTTTCACTTTCTCCTGGTGATCGACTGAATTATGAAGACGTCAACATCTGCACGGAAGCACGGCGTACAGTGGACAACCACAATACAGCTGGACAATCTGGTTCTTCTATTGTACACACATCAATAAATGCAAGAGAAGACGACCAGTGTAGACCAAAGGAGAAGAATCAGACCATAAAACACATCAGGTCAAGAAATGGAGACAGACATGAAAAGAATGAACAGTGATTGAATAGAGCTGGAAAAGAAGGCCCAGGAAGGAGCAGGTTGAGGAATGCTGGTCAGCGGCTTATGTTCCATCGAGGGTAACAAGCGTAAGTAATTACGTAAGCAAGACAAATTCATTGTTAAGATATAAAGCTTAGGAGTGAAACTTGTTCATTAACATTACTAATAATGAGGGAGAAATTTGGTATCACCAACCATCAGATTGCTTAAACAGAAGAAATAAATAAAGACATAAGGTAAAACCATAACTACACAGCGACAGATTATGGTTTAAATGATCAACTCATTTGATAAATGCCATTGTAGATGAGAATGGAAAGTGTCCGTAAGTAGTAAAGAAAAAATTACGAGATTGTAATGAGTCTAACATACTACATATTAATGATGCCCGCAAAAAGAACTGAAAAGTAAAATTGATGGGATAACAAGCAAGTTGAGTGAAACCAACGAAACATTGTTGGATTTTAATCTTTCCATGATTAGAATAATCTGAAAAAGTCTTAGAATATTATTAAATCGAAATCAAAAGACTTTCGACAGTCAGTTATTACCCAGAAATACACAAAAAATCAATGTGCACAATAGGCTACTTCTAATTAATGATGAATGATTTACAGTTACGATGAATTTACGCAATAGTCTATGAAACATCAAATAGTATAGATTACACATGATACTTTCAAGAAAATCAAAACGATTCATGAATGTTATGCATTCGATTATTACGAAATTTTGAATTCAAAAAAAAAAAAGAAAAAAAATCAATGAAATATAACTTCTGGTTGTTTCAATAATACGCCTACCTTATTATGAATTAGAAAAATCGGTTTGAATTCCTTCGATTATCTTACTGAATGAAGAAATTATTAAAAATAGGGAGTTTTTAAAAGGCAACAAATTTCAAATCTCAAATAAAGTACATTCATCAATTGAAAATAGATTCTAGGTTAGATGCCTTAATATTCACTAATGAATTGCACGTGTTCACAATAATAAGATAAGATTCATATAAAATATATATCTCAAATAATAAATAAAGAGCTTGTTCTTTTCTAAAAAGAATACACACAACACTGATGTGTTCGAAAAGAAAAGGATATTTACTAACACTTTTTGAAGGTATATCTGTCGTAAACCGAAGTGATACTAATGAGAACAGTTAGGCTTGAAATCTTGAAAAAAATATCTTAATTTCATATGAATGAATATCAGTACCTCGGTAGAGAAAAAAATAAGCCACAAACAATAAATTCAAAATACATCACTTAATTAAAATTTTCAAAAAGAAAAACAACTAACATTTTGTGCAATTTGTACTAACACTGATTTTATACTACGCAATTTAGTCAAAGTTATTTGTATTGATGGAAATCGTTCATGGAATTGTCGATTGACTTCACGTTTACGTTCATTTGGTCGAATATATCCTAGAACGCTGGTCTGTAATAATATAAGTAAACCATAAAAACAATAAGTAATAAACCATAATGATAGCAGTATAATTTGGTAACAATATAACACAAAAAGTGAAACAGATAATCAATCAAAAATAATTATAAGCAGATAGAGATTCAGTTTTTGTATGAAAAGAAGACTAACACTTTACATTGGTGAAACTGACCAGAAGTGATTGTATACAATTATTATGAAGGTTTAGCATGCTTTTGATTGAATCAATGAATCAGTTAAAATGAAATCAGACGAAAGACATACTTAAAACTCATCGGCTGAGGTGATTAACACATGTATTACGTCTGGCCAGATACTTTGCCTCAATTCGCGATGTTTACTGGTATAGGAGTAGACTGAGAAAGTTAGAAGCAATCAAACAAAAACGTGACATTATACTTTGAAGCCATTGATTGTTGCGTTGAACCATGTTAGTAGGTGCCGATTACATGTTTGGAATCCATGCAATAGTCATGGTAGATAATTGGGTGAAATGACTCAGAACTGGTCTTCTCTCACTACAGGAAGTTCCAAGATCCCTTTTCGAATTGTATTTTCAATGCTTAATGTTTTCCATTGTCACCGATACTGTCATTACTTGAACTATCATGTTAGTCTAAAGTTAACACCCACCCTGTTACGTTGGAAAAAAACCGAAACTTTGAGCCGCAAAAACGTGTAATCAATTATAATATTTCACAGAGGTTTTATTTTCCCCTTTCATTTAACAAAGAAGTTCCCATAAAAGTAAGAGCTAAACAGAGAATGCTTGAGATATTTAAATCAGATTGGTGAGCATATATATAGTGTTGGTAAGCTTGATACCTATCCCGTAATAATGTCAGACCAGATGTTACGACCTGACATTTGTGAGACTCAATAGGACGTAAAGTATCAAGTGGATTACTAGTAGATAACTCACCAGATAGTTCGGAAGTTTTAATACACGTTTTCCTGTTGCAACTAACAATTCCGGATCGTCCAAAAGGAATGGATTATAACTTATTAATGGATCTGGATAACCTAGTGCTATAGACGAAAATAAAGATAAATTATTACCGAACAAATTACAATTTGTACTGCTTGAACTAGGATTCCGTTGTCTATGATATGACATCGATGAATGGTGCCAATGTGTATTTGAAGGGATAACTGTGGAATTATTTAAGAAGCTACGTCGAGAATGATTTGAGTTGAGTACACCAGGAGCTATGAAGAAAGAGAGCATAAAAATTTATTAAGTTAAAGGACTGAAATAGAAAAACTAAATACTTAGTTGAAAAAAAAAACCGAATTAAATCAACCTTTACTACATTTAACTAGCAATCTGTACTGATAATTAACCAAAATAGTACTTCCGTGTTTAATGAAGACAAACTGATAAACACATGCATGTAAGATGAATAAATATGAATAACAGTGTAATTTAATATACAAGACTTTAAAAGAAGGGATAAAAGCCTGATTAAAAGAAAATAAAAAGTGGACAAGTACTGGATTCGAATTCAGCAGTTTTTGATAATGCACTCAAATCAAACGAGATTAGAAAGCTACACATTGGATTTTTAATTGGGTAGTAGGTGTGCATTTTTGAGGACTCTAAAACTAAAGTTAGACTGGCATCCAGCTCTCCTAGGTTTTTATACTTCCCCAAGTGATGTCGATCCGTGACAAAAATCACCTGCATATATAATAATATTATTATTTGACTACTTCGGAAAGCCTAAATCCAGACAATCACCAGCTAACATATATTTGAAGTGTTGAGGACACTACTGATCAGTGAAAACGTCTTCAAGGAGGACACTAAGTGATCAAGACTGTACATGTCGAAGTAGGAAACACAGATCTATGGAGCCGTCATCAATAGTTCATTGAACAAAATAATATTAAAACATAACAGACAGAATGCAAATTTGATCGGCAAAATCGGATTAAAATACAGAGGTAAACAATTCATTAATAGATAATGGTTAATCACTTTCTGAATATGCTGTTTGCCAAATTTTGTCTCACGAAATAATTGCTACATATTCAGATTTGTTAAGGTACTTGTCATCTACATAGATAATATCCCACACGTGATTACTAAATATATGGTTATCTTGCACGTTGCTTTCAAGATGATGAAGTAACTCACGAAGTACAGACTTATGCGTTCAGCTTTGGAGCTATACTATATGTGGCGGCTGGTGAAATTATCTGGTTTCTCAAGACCGAATAGATGGAGAGGGACTCGAATGCCTTAACGATTAAACCACTACTCCACTGATACACATGATACAAGTTCAGCTTGGTAATCAGTTAAATGGTAGTTACTATTATTATTATTATTATTATTACTAAAAAGTTTGTTAAATTATACGATCTAACGAAAATGTAATGACAAAAACAAAATTCTGAGGCTTTAGACGGTTGGAAATGTACTTATCAGTTATCACATATGATAGAATAACAGAAACCTATGAGGATTCACAAACATTTTTGAACAGTATATGAATCAACAGCCAGATAGTGGTCAACGTGATTCTCTAGTGGAAATTTATCGTCTTTATTAAACTAGTTGTTTTGCTAACACATTAAAATGATTTTCAAAGTTCACAGTGCAAATAATCTGTTAAAAATAGATTTGCTAAAAAGTGAAAACAAGCTTCATGTTTAATCCCAGGAAACACAACTGACGGTCATCAAATGTGATACATAAAATGACCTTGAGGCTGTATAAACTGACTGATATGACATGTATAAATAAATTTTATATAATCCATTGAAATAAGTACATATGTGGACAGAAAACAAAATATATATTGTAAATTGTGTATCAAATTAGTGATGTATACACTACAAATTTAATTAATAACTAAAAATTATCAATGAAATCAAAATCTGGTAACAAAGTGAAACACATTCATAAACATACATATGTGATATTAAAACAAGAGAACAGTAAACCGCTGAAGTACAGTTTCATATAATGAAGAGACGTACTAACGAATAGTAATAATGACAAAACCTGATTCATGAATTTCTGTTGATCACTTTAAATAATGTAGTTATGACAAACTGTAATAAATTGGTACCAATACGTAGTAATCATCAGCTCAGCGAAATCAATGCTCAGATTCTGTTCCATCTACTACTAAACAAATTGAATTGTGATGTGATTAAAAGCTGATCAGATTAATTCCGATAAAACATGTTGATAAGCAAGCACTAAAGGAAACGAAATATCCACTAGAAATTGCCTGTTGATCATAAAATAAACGCTGAATACTAGGTAGGTCATGTAACAATACTATTTCTTGGAAAGGTGATAAAGGTTGCAAATCGTTCTAGTTATGCTAAAAAAAATAAATCAGAATCCTGGAAGTGTGTCATTTCAACCATGAAATTAAGGTTTGACTAGGACTAAGAAAACTCTTTTTACATATAAAAGACAAGATACAAACAAAATGGATGCGAAAGTATTTATTCTCATTATTGTGCACTAATCATTACCTTCATGAAAATAAGCAAACGATTCATGATTCGATCTGAAACCTGAATTCAGTAAAATATACGACATCAATTCAGTATCCATTGGATGTCCAACTTTTACATTATTCTTTGATAATTGATAATTTGATTGAATTAAATGAGCATATGAAATAGTCTAAGTATATAATAGAAAGAAAATAGCACAACAATATGATATCGGAAATAACGACTAAGAGAAACAGAGAGAGTAATAATGCGCTAAAACATCAAGATACACAGTAAATTGATGAAACTGACATGTATGATAAATGATAGATCAAATAATACAAAATGGTCCTTAACGAAAAAAGAATCTAACATTTAAACCAGACTTTTAGAAGGCGTACTAATGAGTTTATAAGACTATATACTGATGAAAAGAATGACCTAGCTTTCACCATAAAATATACAAGCCTATTATTCGATTTTTCATCACGAATATCTTGATTACGTACGTATTGAGATTTAAAAATTTGATTAGTGAATTAAGAAGTAGAGAATATTACGTGAACTACCTTAATCGCTCAGCATGCATATACTAATTTTGATAGCTGATTTCCTGCAGTTAGTAGGGATATCAGCACGAAATCCATAACACGCTTATCCGAAATGAATTACAAAATAAAATCCGAATCAAATGACGAAGTAGTGAATTTTCAGAAGTTGAGGTGATTGGGACATGTGTTATGCATGCCTAACCACCAACGTCCCCGACGAGCGATGTTTTGTGGTGCATGAGTAGGTCGGAAGAAAGCTAGGGGCGGTTAGACAAAAAACATGGTACAAATCCAGGAAGTCACTGACAGTTGGACTGAGCCATTTTGGTAGGTGTAAACTACCTACCTGGTTAGGATCCGCGAGACGATAATAACCGATGGTTAGAGACTCTGAATGACATGGCTCAAAATCGTTTGAAATAGTGCAGCTGAATCCATTCTTTATCTTTTGTTAAATTCTAATCTTCTGAATTCTCTATGACCTTTATCCTAATGAATTAACAATCCAATCTCTGTTAATAAATACAGATGTAACTTCTACCGTTCGCGATAAGAGTTTGTAGCTCATTACCAGATTAGTTATTGTAACCCAATGAGATAAAAAGGAAACCTAATATAATATAATGCAGTATATTTTCGATTTAAGTTGGGTAGAATAACACGATACGTCAATAAGCTAATTTCCTCACCTCACCATTAACAGGTCGAAACGAACTAAGACTTAACACATTATGAACGAAATTTGATTGAGGAGTAGGATCTTTGACGTGTGTAACGCCAGTGGATATAGAAGTCTGTGGTAGACGGACCGAACTTGCGGGAGACTGAAACTGTTGTACGCCAGAAGATAGTTTGTGTGAACTAGGAGGAAGAATATGACGACGTCCAACTCTATATAAAAGAATCACACATATAAGAAATGCTTATATGATTAAATATGAAAATAAAGTCGATAAAACAAAACAGTATAAAAGTGAGGACAAATGTTTCTGAGGTCTAACCAGGCTGTAATAATTACTCTTTAAGCTTCACTGTCACTATTTATAGGTTGATGAGACTGTCAACCACAATACAATTTCTTTTCCGAGTTCTTTAAGAACATACGTATTCACCTGTTTATTATGATCCCAACACATTGCATAATGAAGACACCAACATCCGTTTTTTCAACAAAGTAGGCAAAGTATACAAAACAGTTTGACAATGTTAGATGAGAAAACTCCTATTCTCTAATCTAGATGTCAATGTAAACAGCTGACTGAACAAATTTTATCTAATACCAATTCAGTAAACCGTTCACTATGGAATATAGTCTACTATTTTAAAAATGCATTCTAATTTACCACACATGAGGAAAATTATTCAAACCATTCAAACTCTGCCCTGGGAGTTAGGAGGTCTTCATTCAGTAGAGTTATGACGTCTCATGATCAAAGCCGAGTTCCTTCGCAGGTAACGAGGCCGATGCCCTGACTGACAACCAGGACCCTATCGAGGTGTGAGTAGACGGGTAGTAATATCCGCCCTCAAACAAAGCAAACGAGACAAAATTAGTCACAATCAAATCCTTTCTACACCCCTTAATAACTCCCCGTGGCCTGGCTGGTGTAGCTATAGTATTCAGTCCTAAGGCAAAACTAGCTTTCTTAGACTGGATCCCAGTAGATAGTCCGTTCTCAATCAAAGAGATTGGATAGATCAGAACCTGAACTAGTAATACGGAGTGAAGCAGTTGACTGTATCGACCGCTTCAGTTACCTTGACACTCTCATCAGTGTTGATGGTCTGGTGACTGACGAAATCTCAGCACAGATACAGAATGCTCGATTGGCTTTTGCCAAACTTTGTCACTCATGGCGTAGGCGAGATAGCTGTCTGCTAACCGAAGAATGAGTATACCGCGCAGCACTTCGCTCCGTCCTACTATATAGGTGGTTAGAGACCTTGAATGAAATGGCTCATAGCCGTTTGCAATGACACAGGTGAATCTACTCTTTGTGTTCTCTTAAATCTTAAACATCGGAGTTCCTCATAATCTTTATCCTTTTCTTTTTAAGTTTCTTTCACTAGATTTAACTTCTTGAATAATATAGTCGAACCCTAATCTCTCCGATTACTGCTAATACTTCTACTGCCTCTACCACTATATGATTTGAATTGACAATTCGATCTGTGTGTTAATGTGGTACGGCAACTTGAACTGATGTACGTACGTACAAAGCTCTATGTTGTTGTTCACTGACTGACACATCAGAAATGATCATGAAAGTTCATTGCTTCTGAAGAACAAGTGATATAATTAGTGGCTAAGTAAACTTCGGTAGTGATGTACTTTTAGATCTACGTGAAAGCATGCATGTTTTAAACGTTACAAGAACACCTACGCAAAAGATAAATTAAACAGTGCCTATTGGGTGCCAACGAAGCATTCAGTATCAAGCATATTACACTGAAATACCAGTGCTTAGTTAATCAGAGTTGGTTACTATTATAGGACTGAAGAACATAAAAGTAAGTATCTGTAATCTTGAGGTTGTCATTATTTTTCTTAACATTAACATATATTATAAAAGGTTCGGTTCAAAGTATGAGTTGATGATGTGAGGTTCACGGCATCGAAACACCAAGTTTAGAAAACATATTATATATTCAATACTCATTTCGTAAGCTACAAATCTCAGGTATTAGTAAATTGGTTGGCTTACTGTAACAAGATTATAAAACTTTATACAAAAGAACTAAACTAGTCAACCGAATTAAGAAAAGTTACCTGAAGTGAGATCCTGTTGTTTTACGATGATACGGTAAAACTGAAAACAACGTAACTGGTTTCCCACTAACACCCAACGAACTTAACGCTATTCTAAAACAAAATTCAGAAGAAATTCGGATAACACCATCTGCTTTAATTATTTGAATAAAATAAGAGTTAGAGTAGCAAACAACGGGGTCGTTAATTGAAATAATGGTATATATTTGAAGTGTAATGAGAAGACGAAGATTATCGGAACTAGGTGATACATCAGCGCAATACATTTGCAACAATCACACACATACTTGTTAAGGACACCTATATACGTCAACTAGACAAATGAAGCGTAAGGTTGAGGAAGAAAGTTAATATGAAAAAACAATGTGAAAACCACTATTCTGGATATTACCAAGGTAGGTTTACAGTGAGAACAAACTGTTTTTAAATAAATAAAGGGGGTTTGAACTTTCGTATGGCCAAGCCTTCATCAAAACTTAGTACACATCATTGAAAACTCTTTAATTACTTTATATACATAATATGTTTCAAATAAAATTTTATGGCATCGTCAGAAAATAATACAACTAAAAGAAATCAAAATGGTCTACATATACGTGCAAAACAAGAGTTTATCGTTACATCAGCATACATAAAAAACGACTTATTTGTTGAAAAATGATGAATAAACAAGTTAGGCTACTAAACAACGAAAGTAGGAATGTTGTTTTAATGAAGTATAGGTCTCTCTAAACTTTCAGATACCTTCTTCTTATCAGTCCTAGGAAGTATAGAGTTAGTCAGTCAGTCAGATGCAACGTAGAACTTTGTACGTAAATTCATCAGTTCATGTTGCCATACCACATCAGCACAGAGAAGTAATCGTCAATTCAAATCCAATAGTAGAAGAGGTAGTAAAGGTATTAGAAGTAATCCGAGAGGTCAGGATTAGAAGATAATCAAGAAATATGATTCACTGAGAAAAGTTTAGAAAGTCAAAACTAGAGGTGTTGAAGAATCCAGAAGATTAGGATTTGAGAGAACACAAAGAATAAATGCACCGGCGACATGTCAGTCTAGAATGAGGTTTCAAGAGACCAGGAATGACGTTTCTTGAACTCACATCGTTTGCATTGGCGGTGCAGTGTGATAAAGGAATGTGGGAAGAGTTAGTCGTGGAGATAAGAGGTATTAGGATGTATAGGAAGGATTTGATTTCGATCGATTTGGTCTCGTGTGCTGCTACGGGTATGAGGGTGGTTGTCACTTCCCATCTTCCCACACCATGGAAGGTTGTTTCTTGAGGAACCTGAAAAGGAAGGTAGATTAGCGTTGGTCTTGGAGACCTGGGAGCGTAACCGCAGAGCCCAAGGGACAACTGCTTGAGGCCGGTCACGCATGGCCTTTTGATGAGAGGTTTTTTAGTATTAGCTTCGCTCTTGAAAGCCCTTGGTGGACACCCTTACCGCCGGAGACAGAAATCCGTGAGGTAGGGGAGGTGTGACATTTTTAGCGCCGACCTTTTCTAACCCTTCCTTCCTTGTGAGAAGGCAGCATCGCTGCAGATGCTGGTTGTCCGAGGGAAACACCTTACTGCTGTCACGCCCCTCTGCAGTCAGCAGTACGACTTCGCCCTCAGACCTTGGGTAGCTGCTTTTAGTCTCATCGTTCTCCAATCGACCTGCCTGGTCTGGTAGATCCTTTAGGAAAAAATGTTCCAGCCAGTATAGCTCGGTTGGGTCATCACGATAGACAAGCCCGACCACCACGTCAAGGTAGCAGCTACGGTCGGGAGCTTTATTCCAACCTACTCATGCACCACAAAACATAGTTCGTCGAGTCAGTCGGTGGTTAGGCATTCGTAACACATGTCCCAACCACCTCAACTGATGCAGTTTCAATACGTCATCTATTGATTTATCACCCTTAACTAGTACTCGTTTCCTTACATCTGAATCGCTTACTCGGTTGTATCAGGATATACGGGCAATGGTTCGGAGACACCAATGATCGAAAACCAATAACCTACGCATATCTGCCCTTACCGGTCATGGTTCGCATCCATATAGCAGAACGGAGTGAACTACTGCGTAGTACACTCGGCCTTTGGTTAGCGAACGGATATCTCGCCTACGCCATAAATGACGTAAACTGGCAAGAGCCAGTCGAGCCTTCTGGTATCCTTGCCATTGACAGAGTCGAATGCCTCCTTAAGGTCGATAAATAACACTATTGTGGGACGTCTGAACGTGTATCTTTGTTCCAGGACCTGTCGTAGTGTGAAAATGTGGTCTATACATCCATGTCCAGGTTTGAAATCAGCCTGGTTTTCTCTAGTTACCTACTGCAACTGCCTTTTCCATCACTTTTGCTTTCACTACCCACTACTGTTCGCGATCATTGCGTAGGCTTTACATCAGCCTGTGCCTAAGCTGACTCCGCTCCTCATTACGTTCAGAGCCAAGTGAGATGAGTTTCCGAGCGTCTATCAGTTCGGTGGATGCTACTGAAATCCATAGCCTATGCCTAACCTTCTAGCTTACCGTACTAGCAGATACCACAGATTTTCGGATATCATTTCAAGCTGCCTCAAGGCGGGCATCACTCGCATCGTTGCCCAACTGTTTTTCTAGTTGTTCCTGAAATATATTCTTAGCTATGCTATCAAAAATAGAGTCTTAAGAGGTTTCCTTGCGGCGTCTTTTCTACGTTCAGTAAGTCGCAAACAAATACGCGCTCGCACTAGAGCATGATCTGAAACTAAACATTTGAACAAGCGAAAGTCGTCAATCGAACCCCTTTATCGGTGGCTGATGGCAATGTGATCTAGTTGGGTCCAACGTTGAGACGACTTTGGGGGTCGCCATGTCAAAAGATGCTTTTCCTTATGCTTAAAGTTAGTGTTTGCTAGAAATGGGAGGTTATCTGAACACAGTTGCAACAGAAGGTCGCCATTATCTGTTCTTTGAGCCGCGACAACATAAGATCCACCTAGGTGTCTTTCCTTTTCACTTAGTTTAATTACTTGAGCATTAAATTCACCAGGCATTATTCGTATGTCAGAGCGCTCAACATTTTTATGAAGCTTAGAAAAAAATTCTTCTATCTAGTCTGAACTGCAGTCGCTAGGAGCGTGGGCAGAGACGGCGTGGAAGCAACGGCGAGTTTCCCAATCTTTCTGAGTTCATACTGTCCCGTTTAATCGCACTACGCATAAGCGACTGTCTACTGGGAACCTAAAGCAGAACGACCGGTGAAAAGCAAGCAAGGCAAAGTAATCAACAACATTGAAGAATAGAGAAACAGACGGGTTGAGCACATCGAAGAACTCTTGAATCAACCGGCCCCACTAGACCCAGCCACCATCGAAACAGCATCCACGGACCTCCAAATCGATGTCGGCCAACCAACAATTGAATAGATCAGTGTGGCCATCAGACAGATCAAGAGCAGAAAAGCAACGGGACCAGACAGCATTCCAGTCGAGGCTCTGAAACAAGACGTAGCAGCTACTGCACAGATACTCCACATTCTCTTCAACAAGATTTAGGACGAAAAGCAAGTACGAACAGATTGAAAAGATAGATACCTGGTCAAATACCAAAGAAAGGTGGTCTCAGCAAGTGTTCTCACACAGGCATAACTTTTCTGTCAATACTAGGGTGTTGCTAAACAGAATGAAAGACTCTGCAGATGCTCAACTTGGAAATCAACAAGCAGCATTTCGTAGGGATCGATCATGTACCGACCAAATTGCAACCTTATGGACCATTGTGGAACAATCAAAGGAATGGGACTCACCCTTCTACATCAACTTCAATGATCACGAGAAAGCATTTGATAGCGTGCACAGGACAACACTATGGAAGCCTTTTCGACACTAAAGCATGCCTGAGAAGATAGTCGACATCATATAGATTTCTTAGGACGGATTAAACCGCAAAATTTTCCATAGAGGACGGCTAACAGACTCGTTCGGAATGAAGATCGTTGTCAGATAACGTTGCTTACTTTCGTTTTTTCTCTTTTTTCTGCTGGTCGACTGGATTATTAAGATGTCAACATCTGAATAGAAGCACGAAATGCTGTGGACAGCTAGGGCGCAGCCAGGTGATTCGAACCTAGTAGATCACCTAGCTCTTCTATCCTACACTCAGCAACAAGTGTAGGTGAAGACGACCAGTGTAGTAGCAGTTCATGCAACAGTAGGTCACAACATACACAAGGGAAAAAGTAAGATCTTTCGATACAACATAAAATGCACCAATCAAATCACATTTGATGGAGAAGCTTCGGAGGATGTAAACACTTTACGTACCTGGACAACGTCACGGATAAACAAAATGGATCCGATGCAGATGGGGAGACACGGACTAGTAAAGCAAGGGCAACATTTCTACTACTGAAGAATACCTGCAACTCAAAACAAGTGTCAACCAACAATGAAGTCAGAATCTTCAATACAAAAGTAAAAACAGTTTTATTTTGTGGAACAGAAGCTTGGAGAACTACGAAAGCCACCATACAAAAGATACAGGTATTTATAAACAGATGTCTATGCAAGATACTGCAGATTTGTTTGTTACATATCATCGGCAGGAACGTACTTTGGCAGAGAACAAACCAGCTTACAATTGACACCTCTGAAATTTGATGGTACACATTGCGGAAGTTACTCAACTGCTTCACGAGGCAAGCCCTAACCTGGAAACCTCAAGGTTGAAAGGGAAAAAAGGTAAACAAAGGAGCACATTATGTCGGAAACTGGATGCAGAATAAATAGCACTTGAGAAGAACTGGAAAAGAGATCCCAGAACAGAGACGGCGGAAGATGGCTGGTCGGCACCCTATGCTCCGCTAAGCTTAGCAGGAATGAGGAAGTAGCAAGACTACTTATAGAATATTAACCTGTAAATATCCTCGTTTTTGTGTCCAAGAGATTCTCTGAAGTCAAACTTTTTCATAAGCCTTGTATCGTATGCTCAGGGTTTAAGTGAAGATTTGTGGAGAACTATGAAGCGGTTAAGAACTCAGAGAGAAGTATTCATGTACCAGATGTATAAAAAATAACTCTTACATTATATGTATAGAACCCTAAAGAAAAGTAACCAAATTGATTATCATACGACCTTGCTTTATCACGTGTAACCATAAGTACAAAAAATATAATTGACAAAAAATCGTTCCACAAACACAAGTATATTGTCTGCACACAAGTCATGCATTATGTACATTTGACTGATAGCAAACATATCATTTTTGTTACCTTATAAGTCTTTAGTTTTTTATTCGAAAAACATTGTTTTTATATGTGAATAATTACAATTGAAACTGGAAAACATGATAAATGTGAAAGAAAATGCCATAAATAACAAAATATTCTGACGTTTTAGTTTGGTATGTGGTTAGCAGTGGAACCCATGACGTGTGTTTCGTTATATTTTTGACTCGTCATTTGATTGTGATTTGGTCTCAGTATTAGTCTGCATACAAACACGGTACATATTGCTTCAAATAGGTATCAATGTGTTACTGAAAGTTCGTAATTTTCCGTTGTTTATATTCAGAACTGGGACTAATCAGTCTCTGCTGTTATATGTGCATTTTTGGTAGGTTACCTTAATGGCTGAGTGGATAACGTGTTAGGGGTTGCAAACGATAGACATTTGGTTTGAGTCTTGATGTGAGAATTAATACTGTGATACATGTACATTTACATAACGAGTTTAAAATACGATGGCACATACAAACTGGATATCAGTGCTAGCCACATATCAAATGTAATAGGACTTGAGATAGAGCTATACCGAAGCAGTCGGTTTAGGATGGGCACATAGGACTGACCAATGAGTCTTGAATGTCAACAAAGGGAAACTAAGAATATCTACAAATCTTAAAGTTTTATAACTTTATTAAAAGTGATAGTAAATTTAAGGAAACCATCACCACAAGCTGAAGGTTAACAGCTCATAGCAACAGAAAACAGAGAAGCTAAGTATTAATCGATTATCTCACTTGGAAGTTTTTAGAACCCTGACGCGTTATTTGCTAATATGATCTTAATATGAGTAAAACAAGCATCCTTTAACTTTAATTACTCACGCCACTTACATTCCCAAATAATTTTTTGACTGTCTATCAAAGAGAAAGTATGATACACAGTAGTTTTTTCTGCTTACTTTACAACTCCAGAATATGTCCTTCAAAAGTAGGTATGTGTTAATTGCGAGTACTCGATAAGCGATGCTTTCAAACGGTTACACAATTTGAGTCGCGATTTATAAACCTGAAGATATATATATATATATATATTTCTTTGTATTGATTAATTTATTGTGATTATGCGTTTACTGACGACTGGTCAGTTTGATCTTTGACATTAATAGTCATTTAATTGGTATATCACGGAACAAATTGAATGTAAACTAATTAGTCTTAGAGACTATCAACAAAGCCCACAACTGGACTTCTCACTCTGGTTAGTGGGAAGGAAAGAGAAGGATAGAAAGTTTTGTCCGCCGAATTGGACTTAGCGCAGGAACACATCCTAAACATGCTACGAAAATATCTAAACCACTCTTTGTCACAACCAGAAAAGCCAAAAGGGAAAATATTAGAATCGATTTAACAGATTGACACATGATACGAAGTACACGAAGAACATATCTGTCACTTGATAACAAATGAATCTCAATAAAAATCTACAAAATGAAAAACATGATCACTTCTAGTGCTTTCTTTCCTGATGAATTTTGTTAACCATTTATTTTCTGCCTGGAATACTATTGACAAAAAAATGGAATAAACGTTGGAGAATTCCGATATCTGACAAAGAAAAATCAATGACATTTCATGAAAACCGGGAGCACAGTGAATGAGATCATAAAAATCTAACAAGACATAGTCTTTTAACATACCTTTTAGATAACGTGGATAAAGCATTAGTTTGCATTGATTTTGGATTCATTTTATACAGTGTTTTAATATCTTCCAAACTGATATTATTCGATTCGTGAGATAGTTTAAGCTTGAAATTAGTTTTAGGTAGCAGTTCATATAGTCGATTAGATGAATCATTAGCTAGATAAAAATATTACAAGCGAAATAACAATCACAATGAGTTGTGAAACAAAGATGATTCGTTCAAATAAAATCACATTAGATCAAGTGAGTTATGGAGACTGATCCAAGGAAATCGAAAATAATTTTGTGGCAAATCAATCAGCAAAATAAAGTTTTGTAAGTCTTTGATATTAACGCTAACCTTACTAATTTTGCTGAATATACCCGATTCAGCATAGCATTGAACCAGGTTTGGGTACGCTATGTTGTGCATCTATTACCAAAACTATTCAGCTTAGATTGTATGCAGATCGACAAATCAACCACTAGTCAAATGAATCTTCTCATTCTTCATTTTTGACTTATGGTTTAATGGGCTTTAGAATTCATGTTTAAGCATAGACTTTGGGCAACAACATTGACAAAAATATTCAGTAGATTTCGTCGCAGTTTCATGTTTGCTGATGAATTATTGAAAACTAGGGATAACTAGACAGATATTTTGTCCTGATAACACGTTCTAGTGGTCAAATCTGTTATGCTTGACAATTGAAATGCTTGAACTATTACGCGTTCACCTTAGTCGGTAAACGAGAGCTAAGATAAATGATCCATTGACACGATAGGCTACTATAATCCGAGCGTCGCAAGCCCCTGCTAACGGTATCAAAGAGTCTTGATAAGGCGTAGAAAGTGTATTCTAACGGCACCCAGAAAACCGAGATTTGGTACAGAAGAAGAGGCTCTTGCCCTTGTGTTTGCTGTTCTCCGTTTCTACAAGTTCCTGTACGGTCGGAGATTCACGCTCCTCACAGATCACAAGCCTCTGCTAGAAATATTCGGTTCAAAATCTGGCATTTCAGCCCATTCTGCAAATCATCTCCCGCGATGTGCCTTGATGCTTTTGGGGTATGATTTCGAAATCCAATATCGACGCACTCGTCAATTCGGTCAGGCAGACGCTTTATGACGACTCATTAATGATCAAGTGGCGGCTGAGGAAAACATGGTAATCGGATCTCTGTCAGCAGAAGACCACATGGAATGTTATCTGACATCCGCAATACGCGTGTCTGCAACAGACATACAAAATACTTCTAGAAACGATGAAATATGTCACTAACGGTTGGCCATCGAAGAAGATTGATGGTGACATGAAGCCGCTGTATCAGAGGCGGGATTCACTATGCATCGTGAACGACTGTTTAATGTTTGGTAAAAGAGTGATGGTGCCAAAATCCCTTCGTGAAAAAGTGATGAGACCGTTCCATCTTGGTCATCCAGAGGTTAGACGAATGAAGTCCATAGCCAGGAGTTATGCATACTGGCCTCTCATGGATTGACATATCACAGCGTTAGTTGAAAAACGCATGCGGTGTCAGCAAGCGGCAAAGATGAATGCCAAAGTTCCGCCGGTTTCATAGCCCAATCCTGATCATCCTTGGTTCAGGATACACGAGTTATGTACGAAGTAGAAGTAGGAGGCGATAAATGGTCACTTCAGGATTGGCTTGCGACTTCCCCGGAACTAGCGATAGGGAGTGAAGTATTCGAACGTGTAGACCGCTTCACTTATCTGGGGAGTCTCATCAGTGCCGATGGCCTGGTGACTGACGAAATCTCAGCACGGATACAGAAGGCTAGGTTGGCTTTTGCCAACCTGCGTCACCTATCGCGCAGGCGAGATATCCGTTTGCTAACCAAAGGACGAGTGTACTGTTCAGCAGTTCGCTCTGTCCTACTATACGGATGCGAAACATGGCCGTTAAGAGTAGAGGACATTCGTAGGTTACTAGTCTTCGATCATAGGTGTATCCGAAGCATTGCTCGTGTATCATAGGACAACCGTATAAGCAATGCTGTCGTTAGGAAACGAGTTCTAGGTAAGGATGGCAAATCAACAGATAAAGTAGTGAAACTTCATCAGTTGAGGTGTTTGGGACAAGTGTTACATGTGCCTAACCACCGACTGTCGCGACGAGCTATGTTTTGTAGTGTAGGAGTAGGTTGGAAGAAAGCTAGGGGTGGCCAGATTAAAACATGGCAAAAATCCATGAAGTCACTGACAAGTGGACTGAGTCATGTTGGTAGATGTAGGCTGCCTGGTTGGGGTCTGCGATGGTTAGAGACCTTGAACGACATGGCTCAGAATCGTTTGCAATGGCGTAGGTGCATCCACTCTGTGTTCTCTGAAATTCTAATCTTCTGCATTCCTCAACACCTCTGTCTTTCTCTTTCCAAAGTTATCTCATTGAATTATACTTCTTGTGTAATATCTCCGAACCCTATGCGATTTGAACGGACAATTGCGTCTCTGTATGGTATGGTAACCTGAACTTATGTACTTACGTACGACGTTCTACGTTGTAATTGACTGAATGACTGGTGTTTTGGTGGTTAATTAGGTAAAGAGTGAAGTCAGTTCAGGATAAAGATCAACCCATTGTACAAGGAATATTGATTTTAGTTATGTGTATTCGGACAGTATTCCGGCCCACTGTAAGGCGCATAAATATATTGGTGTCTCCGTGTGCCAATAATCGTGTGCTAAAATAATAAACAGATAAAATTTAAAATGATAGGTTTTAAAGTAAATAAAAATGTTCTCTTGACGAGTTAGTATAGGTTTGAGTCAATGTGTTGAATGCCAATAATAAACACTTGAATTAGTATTTAAGAGCTACACAGTACAATAATTTAGAAAAATATGACAGTACAAGAACATGTTCCACTCACTGACTGACTGTTTGTTTGAAGGTAGTTTATCAGTAAAGTTTTCTTGCCTACAAGAGAAAATGATTATTTTTTTAAAAATATGTAACACTGACTAGCGAAACGCATGAAAAAAATCAACTAGTTAAAACTAATTATACAAAAAATATTAAAATCTATGTTTAGGCTGGAAGAGAAAGTTATGAAACTAAGCTAATAAACAAAGGTTGGTTGTCCATAAACGACGGATATTAGATCTATTGGCAAAGTTGGAGTGTTTTTATGGAGAATAAACAATTTAGTTGAATACTAAAAAATTGACTCGTGTGATAACGATTAGCTTTTGTTCGAATACCTTAGTAGTATCATGTTGCTTAAATACAAAAATGCACAGAAATATACGCATGGTTACAAGTCAATTGGAATGTGAGCAACTGGAAAGCACAGACATTATATAAATCAAGCAAGTTTCAGACAAATTAATAACATACTACGAATCAGTTCATCTCAGGAGTCTGTGAAACTAGTAATTAGTTTTTATGTAATCAGACAGGAGCTCCACTACTTACGTGGATTATTATAAACAGTATATTAACTGCTCATGTAATAATAGTGGCTAGAAGTGTTTCGATTCCTTTTTGCAACAATTATTAGTTGTAACTACAAGTAAAACAGTTCAACAGTCAAGTTACAGAGAGTATTTGAGGATTATGAATTCATTACACCCGATAAAATGAAGTTAAAATGTACGCAAGACTAAGCGGTCATGAACCGAGATCCTATAAGACTGAGACCCAATTTGACATACTAAATGAATACAAGTATGATAACAATAAGTTAGAATCGTTTAATTAGATTAATAAATACACGCACTTACAATTGATTACACTTAACAGCAATTAAGTGGATAACCAATACAATAATTACTAATGAAAATACCTTTCAGGATGATATAAAGTGAAAATATAACCACATAGTTGAGAATAGTTTAAGATGCAGTTGCAAAATATAAAGAAATTTGTCCATATCGAAAACTTAAATAAAGGAAAGTGATCAACAATCAACATACTTTTCACCATTCAGTTGTACATTTGTAGCAGAGGGAGAGGAAACATTCGAAATAGGAACCTGAGGATATGTTTGAAGTCTATTACTTTGTAGATGCGTATCAACGAAACTGTTGGACGAATCATAAGCTTGGGCACATGTCACCAAACTTAGGATATTTTCAGGTACTCTTGAGAACTTGGTTGATACAGATTCTTTAGATGTTTCACAAAATGTATCATTAAGTTGCTGCTCATAAGAAGCGTTACCCTGAGAAATCTTTGTGCCCGTTTGCCCTAAAAAACAAATATACAAGAATTTATATATCCTTCCTTGCCTATCCATATGCAATTATAAGTTGTAATTTAACTGAAGGAAATTTTTACGTAAAAGATAAATACTTGTCAGTTAAAAAACGAGTTGTCATTTTGAAAACCATCCTACAACACATCAGTTTGTAAAGAAAATCTTTCTCATGATAAAATGTAAGATACATCCCTTATAAATTTTTCGGTAACTCTGCAGAATGTAGACCTTCAAAGAGTGAGGTATTTATTTGAACCAGGAAGTCAATATATGCTTAGTATTGGATCGGTAATAAATTAAAGAAAAAGTTAGTTGATTGATAGATAAATATTTCCCAGCTGTTTTTTTCTACGGGGACTAGTATACTTTCTATTCGAAGACCTTCAGCGCTCAGGTAGCAAGAACTATAAACGAAATGTTACTTTTCTCATAAATGAGCTTTTATGCACTTATATGTCTTGATGCTTGGATTATGAAGAAAAACCAGACAACCGTTTGAAGACACTGTTGTGGCTAATCAAATAGAATGAGGTTCTCATTTAGTAGATAAATCCGTAAGAAAAGCGTTAAGAGTGATGTAAATACTTACCAGTTGTGAAAATACAAGAGGCAGATGAATGACAGCCGATTCCATTAGGTCTATGTTCATATTTCCCATCAAGAGATATATTAGATAGAAAGTTGAGAGCAACCAATTTATGACGGTTCTTTTTACTCCTCATACAAAATAATGTATAGATTGTTTACTTAAATTAAAAGTCATAGAAATAAAATAATTATTATGTTCCCATAAAACACAGGGTAGAATAATTGGTGTGACAAAAATCCAGTAATCGCCAACCATCGGAAAACTACCGGTTCACTATGTTTCTGTTTAAAAACCAAATATTTCTGAAATGAAAAGGCCAAAATGTGTTAGGCAACAGCTTAAGATAAACAAAACAAGAGAATCCCAGGAAATACTAACAGAATGAATGCTTTAAAAATTAAATATAAACCGAATAAATCGACACAAATGAAAACACATTGACAAACAAAGCAGTTAACTTTATAACAGTGTGAATTTCAACATCACCTTCTTTATAAATACAGTATTTAGGAATTTATCATCCCAAACACACAAATAAAATAGGACAGCACAAAATAGTCCACTTTGATTTATTCTGATATCGATTTCGCGAGACTACATCAACGTAGGAGAAACTAAAGCTATGAAATCATATTTTGGATAGTTTTAAGTAGTGGATTCTGGTTAGTTAGACATTGTTATAGTTTTAACACCACATTAACAGGGTGGACTAGAGCGTTAACCAAATGTCAAGCATGATTCAAAAGGGTCGGGAAAGGGTGGAAAACAATGCGCATGAGATAACACTTACATCTAAATTTAGAGGAAGATAAATAATAAGTACAAATGCTTTAGTACAACTGATTTTGAAACATATCAATTACTGTTTATGAAAACATATGACTGCTACAACCTAGGAGTCACTTTCTGATATGATCCAAACAAACAATTAGTAACTTTTTGAACTGACAAAATGCCTTCAGCAGTTAGCATCTGCACTTTTTTTAAACAAGTTAAGCCAGATACCATCATACGTGCGAGTGCATGGTGTTGTGTTATTTCTAAATAAATCCAAACCACCTGAATCGATAACGGTTTAAGATTTCATCAACACATTTAAAGATTTCTTCTAAAAAATTACGCATACCATCAGCAATAACTGTTTAATAATTCGATGGAACGCAATTAACGCCTTATTGACTGTCTCGATTGCATGGTTTAATTTTACGCATTCTTAATTCCGCAGGTATTTTTTAGCTATAGCGTAGTATCCGGTTAGGATATAAAATGAAACAGAAATTATAATAGTCAGTATTTATTTGTAACCAAACAGGCAATGTGATCATGCCGGAAAGTGGACTCCACTAAAGTAACGTGAAACTTCAGGTAAACAGGAACATAAACTATGAGAAAAAAGCACATTAATGAAACTACTTCTAGTCCATCACACCCAAATTTCAAATCCTCAACCATCCCCAGAACATCAAAAAATAAGGAGTTACAGTTGATTTTACTCCAAGGTGTAACCTGGAAATGTAAGGTATAAAGGCTAAGTATCCACAACTGTGAATTCATTCTGGTAGATTGAAGTCTAATTTGGCTGTATTTTCTGGCAACATATTGAAAATTACGGCACAGAAAATAGTGAGATAGAATTTATAATTCATAAAGTACAGCTGTATAACGTTGCTTCTTTGACCATGAAATCAAAGGATACTGGGCTGAGCAGACAGATATGACTCAAATCTATCAAATTTGAGGAAATCGTGATAAATTTGGAAGGAATTGTAAGGGAAGCCCCAATAGTAAAGTTTGAGTAAAGTTTGGTGAAATATAACCGAAACCCTCAAAGTCGGGAGATGGGGACGCCACCAAGTATTTGTACACAAAACATATGGACGACTATGAAATACTTTTCAGCCAACAGGTTCAAACCAGCCTCCTTTCATCTACACGACCTTGAATGACCATTTCATAGAGGTCATCTCGCATTTTAAGTTTTTGTGGTTGGTTGAGCTCGTGTTAGCTTACCTAAGTGCGTAGTTTTAGCATGATAAGCCAATCTGTTGTCGTCCAAAAAAATGTAAAGAAGTTCGAAAAATTGGCGTAGGTTAGTTCTAAGTGTGTTGTCTAAATACTAGATGATTCTAAGAAACTAGGTTCCACGTTCCATTTGCTAGTTAACACCTCATTCGGTCTCATTTGGAGTATTAAAACATATTTTTCGCCCCCTTACTCTAAAGGGACAAGAATAAACTCTAACATATTCAAAGGCGAGCCACGAGATCAGCTCAGTCTCAACACAAGCACTGAGGTAAACACGCAGAAACTAGAGGCTCAACATGACAAAATGGACTGAATAATATCGTATAATTAACTTCCCAAGCGTTTTTGGAGAATAAACTTGACGTATTTCTAAGGACTCGAGGCACACTAAAACTTACCAATATTACTCTTTTACTCCTGGAATATTCTGGGTCCCTAGATGGAGTTGTCGGTGATTCGTTACTGAGAAGTACGAACGCTCTTTAAGCAAAGTCATATTCTATTCCATTCACAACCATTTGAGCTGAAATTATTTCCACTCTGTAGAACGTCCTATTAGACTTTGAAAGTGTAATATTAATAAACACATTGAAACATAATTCTAGGTACTTCTCCTTCCCGTTGACGGGTTAAAGTCCAGCGGTACCGGATAGCTTCCAGTTACTGGAATATTTCAATTCATATCAATGACAGTTTAAACAGATGGCGCTGAACAAACGTTTATTGTTTCTGAGTGGTTTACAGAAGGCATTGAATGGATTTTAACGCGTTATATATGCATCGTCTTAACTCTTTTGTACTACGTTCACGATGCCCCAAGACACTTCCTGTACTCCGTCAGCGGACAGCATTCGTCGTCAGAGGTGTCTCTGGAGGGTTCTAGGAATGTTTAGTGCAGGACCACGAGTTTCTAGATCGACGCCTAAAAAACAGTTTGTGTTTGATATTATTACTAAACATTCATCAGTAACCTATTTTACGACGTGAGAATTCTGTTTCCTACCATTATTTTGCAGTGCGATGAAGGGCACAGAGATGCATTTCCAGATAAAAAGCGGCCTCCTAAACAATGTCTTCACAGATTTTTATTTATGTTTCACTATGATTGCTTAATATGTTCAGTTTTCAAACCATACAATGATTCTGATATTACCCTTTATCTAACTACTTATCCACTTGCTACCTGGTTAAGGTTTCCTATCACGAGGATGTGACCAAGATTTGTCGTCTGTAACACATCTTCCTAGGGACAAACGCCATCACCTCATTGTTATCTCTGCCTCTGCCCACACCAATTGCAGCTCATATGAGGTAAAAGATGAATTTTACAGAAAGCATCTCAACCTCCTTCTTAGAGCTAAGCGCTCCTATGGTGCCGGGTGACTTTGGCGTTCAAATAGGTAGATTAGGCCAAACCGAGGGTCACGTGGATTGAGATTATGGTGTAACGACTCTGGGAACAGGAAATAACGAGTGTCCATTGCATTTGTGTTCAGATAGCCTCCTATTGCTGACTCCGTAGAAGACTGTGGCTTGTTCTGGAGCCATATACTGCTGCGGTTCAGTAAGTCTGTTCCACGTTATATTAATGTATAAATTGTTCTCGGTATTTTTAATGCCTATTTAGTTTCCTTCCCTTTTACGTAAATTGATTTATTCGTGAACTACTCATTGTGTATAAACATATCATTTAGAAACTCCGACCGTAAAGTTCCTTCATTAGGCCTGAAAATTACTTATTAACAAACCGTGTCAATCCACAAGGAGAGAAATTCGGCCACGCTAGCTCACTGCTTCCAGATGAAGTATAAGATCTTATATGATGAATTCTACCTGAACCGGATACAGAAAAGCCGTACGACAAAGTTGTGCAGGCTGTATTAAAAGCCGTCTCGCGAACTGATCGACAAGCCCTTGGGTGGCTTCTGAACCAAGTGAAAATGGGCGGCGGTAGAACATTGGAGCTGAAAAGTTACATGAGAATTCTAATAAAGACAGGAACTTAGTAGCATAATGTATCTGTTATGGTTCCGACTAACCCCCTATAAATGTACAGCGGATCATCTCATTTGGAATTGGTGGTGTCGACGTAAATAAAATCGCTAGTTATGCTGTTAGAATACATCAAAAAGCGAAACAGACGAGTCTGTAGACGAATAGCACCACAATAGACAACAAAATTTATGCCTTGTATTAAGAGATTAGTGCTTTATGTCACAAGTTGAAGGATCTTAATCAGAACGACAGATCAAGAAGATTGTCAGCAAGCGGCAACAATCGATCATGATCATGTCCCATGATGTGATGGTTTCATCAGGTGTATGGCAAGAGATCTTTGAAATGTGGACCATTGTGCAGATTTAAATTACTATAAAAGGGAAATAATCCCACCGATTGTCGGTGACCACTGAGACAGCCAGTATAGCTTCTACAAACACTCGTTTATTTTAGGAGTGCTTAATTCTTAGTAGAAACGGGAGCAAAAATAATTGTCATGTTCCCCGTCGTTGATGAAAGACAAACTATTATTGCTGTGCTGACGCAAATAAATGTAATATTAAAGCATCTAGGAAGAGAGAGTTAACATCGAACTTCAATAAGAACACTTTATTTTGCCAGGTTTTCGTCGCAGCGAATATATTGGCGCCTACAATTGGTATTGACGTCTTAGACAAATTCGAATTATTAGGAGATTTCTGGCGAAATCAGCCCTTGCATGGAGGCCGTGTAGTGATGATAAAAAGAGGGATTACCGACCAAGAACTGATGAAATGCAAGAGCGATCCATACAAATCGCTTCCAAATGAGTATGTCGCTTCGACAAGGGCACCATATGACAGCAATGATCTTCAATATACGGTGCAGCACTAAATTGTAACTGAAGATTCACTTTGTAACGCAAGACCACGAAGGCTGGACCCGAAAAATGTAAAAATAGCGAACGCGAATTTGACAGATTGGTGAAACTTGGTGTTTTAAAGCCGTCGAGCAGTCCCTGAGAATCCCTGTTGTACGTGGTTCAGAAAAAACGGAGAATTCAAAACATGTGTAGATTGTATAGCCCTTGATAAACAAACTCAGGACGACAAATATCCGGCACAACACATCATGACACTACTAACTACATGAAAGGTGCCACAATCTTTACGAAAGTAGTTTTTGTCAAGGTGTATCTTCATGTTCCCATAGTGCCGGAAGACATGCCGAAAACGTCTGTAATCACTCCATTCAGGTTACATAAATTTTTGTGAATGCTCTTACGATTTCTTAATGCAGTTCGAACTTCCTAGCTATTCATCAATCTGGTCGTTAGACGTTTATTTGGGGTATAATGTCTATAACACACTAGTAGCTAGCGCTCCATGGTAGAAGGTCTACAACAAAAAAACTTTTTTACGAAACTACAAGAACATGGCGTTGCCATTTGTGCTGAAAAGGGATAATTTGGAAAAGAATCAATGCAATTATTGGGTTATATGCGAAATTCTCATGCCATTTCCGTCATAAGTTGCAGCTATTCATGATTAGCCGTTGCCTGAATCACAGGGAAATTTAGGACGCTTTCTGGGGCTAGTAAAGTATTATGGACGAATCATTCCAAACTGTGCAACAATATCTCAACCATTGACAGACGCTTTGCGAGGATATGCTAGGATATTTCATCTGTCAACAGACGCTATACAAGCATTCGTGAACGCTTAGCTAGTGCTAAATGATAATAAAATTTTAGCAGGACGAATGAGGAAAGGGCTACTAACCGTCAAGACCGGCACACCGAAAACAGCGGTTAAAATCCTTCTTCAGTCCTTCGTAAACAGAGCATGGAAGCCACTTTCATTTTTCCCTAAAATGATTGAATCACACTCAAACGAGGTGCAGTCCACTCTCAAGAGAATTATTAGCCATTTACTTGGCAAGAAAGCATTTCCGGTAAATGCTTGAGAGTACCATTTTCACATGGTCTGCGGATGAAAAATCTCTCATGAAAGCATTAAACGCTGTTCAGGATAACTATTAGCCGAGAGAAATTCAACAATTAGATTTTATTTCCTAATATACATCTAGCATATAGTTTAGTAAAGGCAATAATAACTAAGTAGAAGACGCCTTATACAGAACTATGATAAACGCTGCCATCTAATCTTAAATCGATCATCACAAACTGGCAGCACTGCATAATATGAATGTCGAGTTATGCAGACTAAGATCTACCAACACAACTTCCTTCACACTCAAAGAAATTCGATTTGTCAAGGTAAGCATAACATGTGATGTTTATACAGGCCGACTGAGACTGTTTATTCTAAAGCCGTCTAGACAAAACGTTTTCGAAACTGCACAATGGAACAACATCCACGATGAAGCTAATCAGCAGGCATTTTCTGTGGAATGGAATGTTCACAACTGGAAACAGGCATACATAAGTGCCAAAAAGTTAAAGTATATTGTCTTAAGTCAAAAAATGGTACAAGAGGCATGAAAATTTACAGGCAAGATCAAAATGTTAGAAGTGCTAACATATTTTTTGTAATAAGTTGTTCCGTAAGATAAATATTTCTCAAGATACACTGAATACATATACATGGGTAAAAAGTTTCACATAAAATTACAGACAATTTTTCAGACACTGCGATGTACAATACGATATATGACGCGGGTTCCGACGAACCACTAACGGCTGAGAACAAATGCAAGGTAAATCCAGGCATGCATATAACAAGAATTGATGTGGCGAATGTGCAAAGATCTTCTTGTTGATGATAATAAATTTACAGGCTCTGAGAAAAAGTGACCAAGTCTTCCGCAGTTATCCAGGCTAATATTTAGGGGGCAGAATAAGGTGCTGCATAAAAAGAAATAAAGAGAAAGGATCGAGGAGCATATTAGAAAACATTCTTGTTTGAAGCTAACTCATGACTCAGCA